CTATCAAGAAATTGTAAAATATATATAATATACCCTATAGTTTATATTATAATTTAATCAATCTTCCTACAATATATATATTTCATAAAATAATCCACAGGATATTGGGATAAGAATTGTTACAAAGGTAAGTAAGATGAGAAAAAATGTTGTAAGGAAAACTATTCAAAGTGCTGACGTTCCACACCATACATATATATATATATAATATAATACATAAGTACGAGGAATAAAAGCCGGATCGTAATACCTCATACATCTCATACATAAATATCTCTCATACATCGTCCAACGAAATATACAGGCGTTTAAAAGCGTGGAAAGTACTCTACACGTAAGAAAAAAAGAAATAAAGAAAGAATGATCTTCCCTTTGGAAAGAGACAGAACGTCGTCGTCGTCGTCGTCGTCGTCGTCGTTGTCGTTGTCGTCGTCCTTTTTAAACGGCTCCCTGGCATCCAACGAGCGAAGAAAACTCGCGAGCCTCGAGTTGGCCTAAGTTTTGCACGATTTTACGTTGCGTCATAAATGCGGGATGTAAATCACGCGAAGGGCACGCTGCTGCCGAGCCGTGTAAAGACCCGCGCTATGGAATAAAAAAAAAAATAAAAAAGGAAGAAGGGAAAAAAACCCTCCACCCATCCATACCTCCCTTCCCCCATGCCTCATCTCACTTACACGCACCTAAAGATCCGGCTTAAACCATCAACGCCATGACGATTTAAAATCCTTCCTATTTTCCTTTACGACAACATGAGAAAAAAAAATATAAAACGCGAAATCATGTTTTTTTAAAACCACGAAATATGAATTCTTGTTTAACGTTTAATTCGCGTATTTGATACGTTATACCGGAAAATGAAACGTTTCAAAGTTGTAATTACGTTCATGATTGAACGGATAAAGTAATTAACTTACGTATAAACGAATGAAAGAAGGAATTAACTAACTAACTAACTAACTAACTAACTAACGGCCCTCATACAACAACTAACTTCGCTTTAGATTACGTTCAATGTCTCAATCGATGACGGTAGCGTGCTTGTAACTGGTAGTTTAGATAAAAGGTACGATTAGAAGGGGTGATTTAAATCGATGATTTCTATCTAATTTCCATATCGGTTAGCTGTTACTTTCCACCGAAATCTTCTCTCTCTCTCTCTCTCTCTCTCTTTTATTATCTAATGGTCATTCTATTTTTCTTCACGATAGATTTCATTGTTTTTACAACACGAAATCGATCTCAATATAATATACGATACATTTTATGAACGAAAAATAAGATATAAAAGATCGTTAGTTTAATCGGTCAGTTACATACATATATATATATATATCTAATACCATAAGTGTAAAATAGTTTTAAACGATGAATGAATATGCTGCTCGTTGACAATACTCCTCCGTTCTCAGTCAGCTTCGACAAATCAAAGAGACAATCTTATCGTCACGTTGTCTACACAACACTACCGTGGACCTCGAACCGTGCATATTAGCACAATCAGGTATCTGGCCGTCTATCTTTTAACGTTTTCGATACACGTAATCGTTGTGTGTTTATTCTCGTCACTTGATAAAAAAAAAAAAAAAAAAGAAGAAGAAAAAAAATACTTGGAAAGAAAGTCCATTCATAAGTTAACGACGGAAAAAAATTATTAGAGATAAATAGTTTTAATAAAATTCAACTATAACGTATTGATTGTATCTAAAATATTATAACTTTCATTTATATTTAATATTTTACACTTGTGATAAATGTATGTATATATATATATATATATAAGTATTTTAAAAAGAGAGAGAGAGAAAATGTAAGAGACAAAGACACGTTATTGGCTAAAAACAGCAACTACGAGGCCTCACCGCGAGAAACTAACTCGCAGAAATAACTTTTGCTCTCCCGGCTCGCGAATCGAAGACTAACCCCGATGTATGTATGTATGTATGTATGTATGTATGTATGATTTCTCTCTATTTCTTGATAGATTAGAAAAATTTTGCAATCAGAATAATACCCCACAATGTTACTACTACTAACTTCTCGAAATGCAATTCGTTTATTCGTCGCTTAGAGTAAAGAATCAACACCATTACTCGTAGTAGAAATATGTTGCATCTAGGCGACAGATAAATACTAGGAATGCGAGGAGGACAATAGAGGAACGAGGTGTCCGTACGATACCGGAACTGTTCACTATATTTTCCTAGACACTTCGTGACTCTTGGACTTGATTTAAATGACACACGAAATAGGGAAATATATTTTATCCAAATAATATCTCATTTTAAATAAATTTACCGTGCGAGATGATTCCACTGGGATCACGTTAGAAACAAATTTGTTTTATATTCGAATGGAAAAAATAAATAAAATAAATGAAATAATGTGTTGTTAAAACACTCTTTTAATCGCGAGGAAGAGACAATTTTATGCGAGACAACGAAGAAATAGTAAAAGACAATGGTTTACAATGACGACTACGACTACGACTACGACTACGACTACGACATAGCAATGACGAATGCGAACGGGCAGAGTAGGTAGACGATGCAGCACGCATAAACGCAACGTGCATACGCCTTCTTCTTCTTCTTCTTCTTCCTTCTCTCCTCGGAAAGGTTAATCGATATAAAGTTATAAATACCTTTGGCTGCTTCTACACGCACATCTCGTTGCTCGTGCCATTAGTCTCGAAGAAAACGTTTTCTTATCTTCTAATACTATTACTACTACTACTACTATTTCAACGTGAAATATATACAGAAAGAGAGGGAGAGAGAAAGTGAGATACTTTATTGTCTAGTTTAAAAAGAGAGATCGCAAGATTCTTCGAAAGATTATAAAACAAATATTATCCAAATTCTTTTCTTCATTTTATTTTTTTTCCACCCCCTCATTCCTCTCATTCCCAAATCATACAACAAAAAGAGAGAGAGAGAGAGAGAGGGGGAGTCTTGGTTAGTAACTAGAAGTAAGGAAACGTGGTGCGAATAACCAACCGTGACTAGTAGATGGAAGATTTTAATCGATAGGGAATTCCAAGAGGATGATGATCCTTCTAACTGACGTCACGCTACAATGTATATACACACAAAACACATTCGATAGAATTCTAATCAGGTATTCGTCTTTGAGAATACCCACCTATTCGTAGAACTTCGATATCTGTGATCAATCGATCGAATAATCAATCCACGCACGAGTTTGCCTTCGCTGAAGGAATAAAATCAAAAATTGTTATTTCGATTTGAATTAACTACTACTGATCGGTAAAGTATTGAAAATCATTACATCTATTGTTTAAATATACCCTGCTGCCTAATGCATTAGTGAACTACTAGTTTGATATACGAAATTGTCAACGAAGGATCGGTGTTATCGTATGTGTGTGTTCCTTTTAAAAATAATAAAAAATAAAAAAATGTCTACCGAGAGAAATGAATAAGAACTCTTGTGTCAAACTGTAATGATTCAAGATGGACGAGCTGTAACTTATATATATATATACCCTCCTCATCTCTCGTGAGATAGTAACGCAGTTAACCTTATGTTACTTCGCACTTTCGCACGTTACTTTCACGATAATAGAAACTTATTGCTAACGGAGTTAACGCTTCTCTAATAACAGTAATATCTTATCGGCAAGCTTACAATTTTCTCAGATACTCTAACACGAGTAAAATCTTATAACAATAGATTAGTAATAAGTGTATATATATATATTAGACGATTATGCTTCCTGGTAAACCAAATTTGCGACATACCGATATTATATGCAATCTAATAAAAGAATTTTACGTGTCCTATATGTATAATATATCTATTCAAAATCACGTCAATCGGATATAAACGATTGACAAATTTATATTACAAGAAAACTCGTATTATGATTTATAATAATATTCTTAAGTGGACTATAAATTTTGTGTAAAGTGCATATGATCGGTATATGATCAAATATTTATTTCTTTTATTATTACAAAAAAGAAAAATCTCACCCTATATATATATATTACTTATAGACCGGTGCATAAGCCCGATGCACGCAAATCCCTTCTTTACCCTTCTCAAATCGAAAACATAACAATGATCGTTTCTTGGAAAGAGAAAGGAAGCAACAAAAAAAAAAAAAAAAGAAAAAATCTTATTAAACTCGGTCAGGGTCCTTTACAGGATGAAGGATGAAGGACCTAACCGATGAAACTTCATTCGTTTCAACTAATATTTATATATTGCATAGGAAAAATATGCATGCACGAGATCGATCCTTCGTTTTTATTGATAAGAATGCATCGTACCTGATGATGGTGATAAATAATCGGAACAAAATACAGGTGTGTGTTTATATTTCTTTACGAATGATCATTTAAAAAAAAGATGGGAAAAAAAAAAACGCATTTCATTATCGATAATAACAACTAGGAGATTTTGCATTGGTAATTCAATGTCTAAGGAACTTAAACAAACCATTTTTTACGTAACACTACGAAAGATAACACATTCGTATAAATGGAAAATAAATTCTTTTATCTAACTCTATGTTTTTTAAAAACATATCTATATAATATAAAAACATATCAGAGTATAAAATTTCAAAATACGTTCTAAATCGTAAAAATAAAATAAAATAAAAAGTAAGGAGCAACAAAATTCATGACAAATTCATTTTGTTTTAACTAAAAATTATTTTCAACTGTTAAAAGAGTTATAAATTTGTTTATCGTTGATCGTAATTTACACTATAAAACTATGACTTAAAACTTAAAAAACACACACACACACACGAATAGTATATAATATGATATTTATAAAATAAATGAAAGAACGCGATGAATCATCATACTTTTTTTTTTTACATCACAAGATTATGAAACAGAGTATGCGATCAGAGTGTGTTATAAAAAAAATGTTAAATACCCTTGCCAATATTTTGATTCCAACGTGTTACATCATATACTTTTTAAGATGAAAGTGTTAGAAAATATGATGATTAAACTTGCCCAAATATCGCTGAAAGTTTGTTCTTATCCGATGAATCGGCCAATCCTCGGGGAAGATGATACCAAAAGGAAAACAAAGTTGAATAAGAGAAGAAAGAGAAGGATAGCGAGCGTCCACGTGCTCGCCCACGACGACGAGTCGAATAATCCGCTGGCAGGAGTAACGAAGTGCGTGAATATCGAAGCATCAGAGAAAAAAATACGACGAAGAAAGATAGAGAAACAAATCCAAAATGTTTCTATTTCTCTATTTCTTTCTTTCTATCTTTCTATCTATCTTTTTTTTTTTTAACCCTAAACACACAAATAATATACAAGAAAAAAGAAAAAAACACTGGGCCACTTTTTTAATATCGTACGATGCAACATTTAATTAAAACAGAAAAATAAAAAAACCCGCACCACTGCAAACAACAACCGAAGATAATTGCACCGAGGGTGGTTGGAAAAAGGAGGGAGAGGGGTTGGTTGGTATATTCGTTTATATGCAATTATGTATGTATACTCGTGTTCTTCTTCTTTAGGTGATCGATTTGCCGCCAAAATTCGAAAAAACGAACGATATAAGTTCGATATTCGGTGTTCGAGTTCGACGCACTCTCCTCCTCCTCTTCTTCTTCTTCTTCTTCTTCTTCTTTCTTTTTATATTACTTTTCTTCCCCTCTTTCCGAATACCTTTGAAATTCCAAACGACACCTTCGATCTCGTGTCGCGATTACCGAAGAATAATCCACGAGGATAGAAAGAGAAAGAGATAGAAAGAAAGAGAAAGAAAGAGAAAGAAAGAGAAAGAGAGAGAGAGAGAGAGAGAGAGACACGCTTGCAAGTAACCGCAAAAACCGAACGCGATCTCGTGACTGCCAAATCGATCCTGAGACACGCTCGAACAAACCGCAACTACACGACGAAAATTTTCAAAGAAACTTCGAAACCTTCGATACGATATGTAGGTAGGTAGGTAGGTAGATAGGTAGGAAGGTAAAAAGGTAGGTAGGTAGGTAGATAGATAAGTGTAGGTAGGTAGGTAGGTAGGTAGGTGTAAATCAAATTTGTATATATAAATATATAAATATGTAAATATATAAATATATGTATATACTTCACAAAACGTATAAAAATACATACATACATACATACATACATACATACATACATACATATATCTATATAATAAAATGAGTAATCGATGATCGATATAGAACAACGAAGAACGATAGATCGAAAAGTTTGAAAGGATGATGCACTACTAACACACGCGAGGGACTGCGAAAGATATATATATATATATATATATTTGAAACGACAACGCGAAAAAGATGATGATCCCAACAAGAAACAACTAGCACGAACGCTGCAGCGACACTGAGAAACGACTGAACAACTCGCCGTTCGTTCGTTCGTTCGCTCGGCACGCCGATCGCGCCGCGCGATACACTCCTCTACTCTCCTCTCCTCTCTTTCTCATTCTCTTTCTCTTTGACTCACTCACTCTCTCATTCTTTCTCTATCTTACCCTCTTCTTCCTCCATAAGGCCCTCCCACTCTATCTCACTCACTCACTGCTAAAGCTTCTCCCACCACCTTTTACATTAGCTCACAGCTAGGCTCCCTCGCTAGCTCCCTCGCACACCCGTTCACTGCACACCCAGTTCTCATATATATATATATATATGTGTATATGTATATGTATATCTATATCTATGTAGATATATATAATCTTTCTCTTTCTTATATTTATTTTTCTCTTTCTCTTTCTATCTTTCTTATTCTCACCCTATTACGAATCTTACTACCACTACTACCACTATCTACCAATCAGAGACACTGGCGGGAAAAACGATGTCCCCCCTTCGTTCACCCTTGTTCATTCCTTACTTCCTTACTTACTTCCTTCCTGATGTAATTATGTGTTCACCTTTGTCGCACCTTTACTCACAGCTGTTGCATTTCTGATATCTTTCTATGGGGGTATAGTTCTCCTTCATTCTCTCGTGTATATATCCAAACTTTCCTCCTTCGAGCACGTGGCGTGCTCGAACAATATTTTCTTCCTTCTCTCCACCCCTAACTATCCCCTCTTCCCTCATCCCTCATCCCTCATCCCCTAAAACTATGTATATATGTTATTCACTTATTCGTTGTAACATTTCAACGAACGAATGAAATCAATAATAACAATAAAATAGATCGCGAGGGATTTTCGTGTTTTTCTTTACTGTTGCATTTGCAAATGCAACAAAAACAATAACAAAAGGGTTGAACGACCCGAAGGAAACGACCTCTTCTTCTTCTTCTTCGTGGATGATCGCGCCTCTAAGCCCACGGATCGGCACCATCCCGGATTAGATGAAGTAATAATAGGGCAATTTCGTTGGCATGCGGCGAGCACGTTGCAACCTATACATATATATATATATACATAGATATATATATATATATATATATATATATATAAAGACGCATGTCTGTCTCTTCCTTATCCGAGAGAAAGAGAGAGAGAGAGAGAGAGAGAGAGAGAGAGAGAGAGAAACGACGATCGATTTCAAAGCAATATCACGATCGAGTTCAACCCTTTAAATCGAACACGCGACTCTGCCACGTATCTTTTTCTGCATACACATATTGTAAAAGAAGTATGATACCATATCTGACACATGCATATACATATATTGTTCATATGCAACATTTTTCGAAGGTTTATAATAATTGTCCTGTTACGTTCTCATCAAAATATCTCAATGAGAAAACCATTTGCCAATCACCACTCCCCAACCTCCCCCTTCACCCTTTTTTTACATAAAAATGTTGTAGAAAATATTACATCGAGAACAGAACAAACACGACGATGATGATGATGATGATGATGATGATGATGACCGGGTTCCTTTAAGTTTTATCTTCAATTCGTCTCTCGCTTAACAGAGGAATGATATCACGCTTTGTACATAGATATATTGCATACATACGTATATATTATTACATAGTAGCAGTATATACCCGCATGCCTTTCCATTAATCTCAATTAAGTAGTAATTAAAAGCGATTAACAAAAGTGAGGTCGTGAACCAATGATGTTGGATTTGTGCGTAAATACACATATATATATATGCATTCGTGGTCATGTTCGTAAACACCTTTTTTATGTGATCTATATTTCTTTTTTTTTTTTTTTTTATTATATTCATTTTACGCTTTACAATTTGTCGGACTTTGACATTAAGTAAATTTATTCTTTTTTTTTCTTTCGTTCAGTTTAAATAACACGTGGGTGCATAATTTACATTAATGCATTTAACTATTATTATTCAAAGTTCTATAGATGGTTACGTATATAGAAAACGTGTAGAAACTTAGCAACATTTTCTCAATCGTTTAAACACGTTAGCTACTCAAAAGCAGTTGTGAAACCCTTGTGATTTATATATTTTCGTCCTTAACTCCGATAAACGACACTCGCGTATCTGACACGCTCGAGTTCGTTCATATCGCTCCTCTCCTCGACACGCGATTACTAAAGAAAAGTATGTATAATATACATGTATGCACGTGTATATATAAATATATGTATGTATGTATGTAGGTGATGCTAAGAGCAATGAATCCTGGCAAGGTATTAGTTAACTAAATTGATAGATACATTTTATTTCATATTTTTATTTGTTAATCTCTTTAAACTTATCCCCACATACACAGATAATATAATAAATAATAATATAATGTTCATATATATATATATTATTACAATTTTTTAATATTTCATTTTGTCATTGTTACGTAAGATATATGATAAAAAAATAAGAGGTAGAAGAGGAGGAGGTGGAGGAGGAGAAGATATCTATTCGCAATAAGAGTTTCACAGTGACTGTGTGGTAATCGTCAGAGTATTAAAGGTCTTCGCGATAATAATAACGAACGTTACCGAACATCTCTTCCCCCATAGACATTTCTTTTCTTTTTAAATTGTCATCAGCTTGAAATTTCGTTTCTCGACCGAACGTATATTTAAGAAAAGAAAATAAAGATATCATTCCTCCGCATACACGTAATTATTTTATGACGATGCAATTAAAAAATGAAAACTTAAATGTCGCGGTATAAAAAAGCAAAAAAAAACAAAAAAATCATACACAAATTATAACTCGCGTGGAAATGTAAAAAAATAATATCTCGCAAGATAATTTTGCCCTCGTCATTCACTGATAGAATTTCTTTTACAAAATTTAACCCTTTGGATACACGTGTCCAGTCAATTATATTATATACAAAAAATTATGCACTAAGTAATTTACCTATCGTAGCTTCGTTGCAGGAATAATTTCATCTTCGCGTTCCCATAGATAGAAATCATTTTCGAATTTTTATCTGTTTCAAATAAATCGGAGAAAGAGGATAAGAAGAACAACCATATTGATTGGCCATATTGATTGGCCATATTTTCTATCTCTTTTCAAACTCGATAATGTATCACACCATGGAGAGAAGTCCCCGTGGTTTAATGACTTCATCGATAGCACCATGAACGAACGAACGAACGTTTATTCGCACGTCTATAAATCAAATTCGAGTTTAACTCGGCCAGAGATCGACGAGAAATTTATCGCGTTATACTAACGTGTACGAAGCTTTCTCGATCATGGTCTTGACTACCGCGCGACAACAAGCTCGTATCTATGATCTATGATAAATATCTCGAATTATTATTTTTCTTTTATTTTATTTCCTTTTTTATATTTCTTTTTCCCCTCGCTCACTTTGTTTTTTTTCTTCTTCTTCTTACAATAATTAAACGGTGGAAACGATTCAGAACCGAAAAAAAAAAACTGGATTTTTCAATTGAACGAAAGTTATTAGCCTTTTGATTTGATCTATTTTTTTTCTATATAATACCACACATACCTTGTACCTTGTCAATATTGAAATTGATATTAATAAATATAAATATATCATTGATATAATATATATAATATCTGTTTATTCATTTTGACGTTCATTCTATTTATTTTATTTTATTTTATTTCTATCTTATATGTATCTATTTATTTATAATTATTCACGAAACGAAATACTTGCTTCCTTACTTCCTTTTCTTTATATTGGTTAAAAATCACCATTATATGATATCACCATATTTTAATGGCTACGAAAGGGGGAAATTCGACGATGAAATTCCGGTCTATTTTATCTTAGAAATCTTTTATTTTCGTTTTTACCGTTTTACAATCGTTCGGCACCCAATTCCTTTTCTTTCTCTCTCTCTCTCTCTCTCTCTCTCTCTCTCTCTCTCTTTTTCATCTCCTCTTCTTCTTCTGTACGCAAGCCTAGTATTATAACGGTTTCGGTAATATGATTCTCGCTTCGACGTTTCGCTCTAAGCGTTTCCCATATAAAAACGGAAGTAATTCTTTGCTCTCGTTTACCTTACCTTTATTCTCAAAAGAATAGAAAATTTGAAAGAAAGAAAAAAAATCATAAATAATATAAACCATTGCAAGATGTTACTATTATTATATCTCACTAAAATAATTGATCAATTTCTAATCTGACGAGATAATTGTCACACAAAATCTACAATAAATGAATACAAAATAAAACAACAACAACAAAAAATAGGAAATATAAAGAAACTTAAAAAATGAATATTAATCGGTAAAGAGAGATGAAATTACGATAGAGAAATGAATCCCGATGTGAGATATAAAAGGTACACACACTCATTCTCCTATTCCAAGTTACGAGTTTAGAAACAAAGTTATATCGCCGATATAAACCTGCTGCTGTTCTCGTCGTCTATTCGCGTAGCTACTATGCAAATCGATGACACACGTTTCTTATCCTCTCTCTCTCTCTCTCTCTCTCTCTCTCAGAAATACAAATCGAGAAGAGGGAAAAGATAGTTAGATAGATAGAGTAAGAAAGAAAGACAGAAAGAAAGAAAGAAATAAAGATCCTGGCACGCAGCTGATGCCTCGGACAGTATGTGTAAGTTCCTCCAATGGAAAATCCTAGCGAAACAACTCTCAAGGCTACCTACTTCTCTTATGCGTTCAAGCAAACTTTGATACGCGTATATATATATATATATGTATAAGTAAATATACATATATATAAGTAGCGTGAAAACAGATCCGAGTTTATGAACGTGAATTGGATGGATACGAGAAAGAAGAATCTGATGTGTGTTCCTTTATTTACCATATGTAAATGATAATATGATACGTGGCACGATCTTTCGTGTTACATATTTTCTCTATTTTTATTGTATGTAAAATATAACAATTTTAACCCTTTCCCACTTCTAATGATTTTACCAAACTAGCGTCTATTAAGTGATTTAGAAAAAAAAAAAGAAAAGAAAATGAAAATAAAAA